TGCCTGGAATGCGCCCCCGCTCACAAACATTAAAGAGAAAGAACAAACTATGTTTTGCTTTCTAGTTTGTGTTTTCATATCGAGAGGAGTTGATTTTCAGTCCCAGAGGGTCTGAGCCAGTAGGGGACTCAGCTTCATCAGAGGGCGAGGGCTTACACACGCCCCACAAATAATAATAATAATAATAATAATAATAATAATACTAGAACTAATGCGTGCGCTGCATTTGGAGCTTGAAATGATCAGTGGCATTTCCTCGGATGAGGTTAAACATCCCGGCAACAGGGCTGCACATTTGCATAATAAAGATCAGAAGCCACTGCCTCCTACATCTCCCCGGGCACCAGGCGACCAGTGTCCTTGGCTCAGGACACAACTTCCTAATGTGCGTTCGTGCCCGGTCCCGGGCAGCGATTCTCCTCTTTGGCTTGTGTGTGAAATGTCAGGGTTTCCTCTTTTTTTCGTCTCAGAGAACAACAAATTAGGCTTCCCAGTGAGAAGGTGCCGTCTGTAATGGAGAATACAATCTGAACGGGCAGAGGCCGCACCGGTGACCCCTGGCGCTGACCTAGCAAGCCCGAGTCCATTGTTCCCGCCCATCAGTGGACAGGAAAACATCACTTTAGACGTAATCATTAACCATTAGTCAAAATGGATATCCCCGTTGGTTCCTCGCCTCTCAGGCAACCCTGCCTAGCCCGACAATAAATCAGGAAAATACATTTCTTCATATCCAATGGAATGTATTTCCAGACAGCCTCTTTGCTATATGAAGTAACACAACACTTTGCAGAAGCCGTCCATCACCCGCGGATGGGAAGAATCTCCCAGGATGCTGTTGTAAGGACGGGAGAGGCAGCCGGTGGCTGTAAACCAAAGAAACGTCTCCTCACAGCGGTGGCTCTAGGTCAGGGGACAAGGACAGCTAGCCGCTGCCCGTCTGGACCCATGGGTTCCTTTCCCCTTCGCGAGATCTTCTCCCCAGCTGGCAGGTCATGCCCTGGCCTGGCCACCGTGAGCACCAGTCCCCGAAGTCCGTCCTGGTCCTTGTTCTAATGTGGATTCATTTCTCCAGGCCGTTTCTCTGCTTGCTCCTGGCTCTCTCTGGATCCACTGAAATGTTTACAGCCCTCCAAATGCTCCCAGAAGATAAGTGATCCGCCCTAGGACGGTGGGAAGAGAAGTGGACTGGCCGTCAAGAGGGGAGGAAGGGACTGAGGACTCCCCTAGACCTTAACTCCTTGAGGGTGACCTCCCGGGGGCGTGTTCTTTGCCCCTCCCCACCCCACCCCACTGTGAAAGGGAGGTGCTGTCTATGGTTTCCAATCTGTGCTCCCTGGAGCCCTCAATTCCTGAGGCAGTGCCTCAGGGGGAGGTGTGAGGGAGGATGGGGAAGGGGGGGGGCACCTCAAAGGTCCACTAGAGCAGCCAGTTTTTATATGTGCTGGGGATACAGCCAAGGACAAAACTCAGCCTCTGGCCCTAGCTGGTTTGCACAGTGGATAGAGCGTCGGCCTGCGGACTGAAGGGTCCCGGGTTTGATTCCCCTCAAGGGCACATGCCTGGGTTGCAGGCTCGATCCCCAGTAGGGGGCGTGCAGGAGGCAGCCAATCAATGATTCTCTCTCATCATTGATGTTTCTATCTCTCTCTCCCTCCCTTCCTCTCTGAAATCAATAAAAATAGACATTAAAAAAAATTTTTTTTTTTTTTTTAAAAACAAACAACCCTCAGTCTCTGCCTTTACATGGCATCCTAGTCAGGGGAGGCAGAACAGAATAAAAAATACAAATAAATGCTAAGACCCACTAGGTAAGAAGCATGAAAAATCTAAAGCAGGAGGGGCACTGAGAGTGGGAAGAGGTTCCTGTGGCCAGAGAAGCCTCTCTGATGAGGCAGCACTGGGACAATGTTATGAAGGCTGTGCCCATCTGGGGGCTGTGCCCATCTGGGGGCTGTGCACATCTGGGGGCTGTGCACATCTGGGGGCTGGGGTTCCAGACAAAACACAGCCAGAGTCCATGAGCTGAATGGGGCTGCACAGCATTTGTGGAGCCTTCACGGGGCGCTGAGAATGTTTGGGAGCCTTGAAGGTGGTGAGAGCCGGGTCAGCCAAAGGAGGTGCTCAGATTTCCTTCTGAGAGATGGAAAGCCATTAGAGAAGTCAGAGGCAGTGTGGCATAAACAGATTTATGGTAAAAGCAAAAAAAAATAAATAAAAAAGCACCAAAATACATTTGGCAGGCTTCAGGCGTCCTGGCCGCTCCACCATCACTGTCAATGGAGCAAAGTCTCCAATGTCCTTTTTGTGCATTTAAAGAACAGAAGAAACAGACAAAACGTCCTCTTTCTTTGCATCATAAAGGCCCTCCTGATAGTCTGAACCGAGGCTGCTGGGGCTGGTTTTGCAGCCCCCCGGGGCCATTTGGAGCAGAGTTCTGAATATCCTAAGACTGGGAAAAAGTTCTCAGGTTTAATAAAACAAATTAATGCAAATTCCTTTTACTCGAATAACAGGAGTTCCTTGCCACACACCACTTTCAGGAGAGGGGAGCTGCATTTCCGAAAGGCCAGCGTCGCTGATTAATGCCGGAAGTCCAAGGCCGGGAGAGGGTCCGCTGTCTGTAACTTGCTCATAAGCTGCTAGCCTTTCCCACGCGACTTTGCAAAGTAAACGCGACACTTGTTTAAATATTTACCAGCCTGTTGACCCATTTTTGTTGTTGTTGTTAATTAGAATTTTTTAAGAAGAAAACAAACATCGTAACAGCAAATTAATCCAGACAGCCTCAGACAGTGAGACCGCTCAGCCCGGCTACAGTTAAGCATGAAGTCAAGATTATAGTATCCAAGGGGAGACATTAATTAGAAATATCAAAGACAGGCTCTGAATGCAAAGGAGGTGAAGGCCCAACCTGCCCCCAATCTGTGGCTGTTAAATTAACAATGGAGGTGAAAACATTGTTTAGAATATAAAGAGTCTTCAGCAATTGTTTTTCGGTTACTTTCCCTTAACCGTGTGGTCAGCCCCAAACCTCTTTCTCCTACAAGAAGTGGTTGGCTGAGCAATCCTGGAGCTGTTCCTACAAAACAAAACAAAAAAGCTATTTTTAAGATGTGGCGTTGGAGTCCGTTGCCTTTGTAAAACTTGTAATGGCTTTGTGCTTTAGGAGGCCCCTGCAGGTTAAGTTAACAGCATCCTGCGCGCTCCCCTGGGCCTCCTCTGAGGCCAGGCTGAGACCTTCAGGATCCCAGGAACAGAGGGTTTTATGTCTGCTGATGCAGGCCTGTGGACTCCAGCTGCCCTTGCCAAAAAGAGAGTTTACTCAGAAAGTCTCAGCAAAAATGCCCGGCCCCCAGCAGGAACTGTTGCCAGTGGCGACCATGATGACTCGGGCAGCGTGCACGCCTTGATTTGCTGGGCTGGGGAAGAAGGGACCGCAGGAGGTTGTCATGGGCAGGGAGTAACGTTTGCTTGGTGGTCACAGAATTTCTCTAAATGGACTAGGCTTAGAGCCCGTGTCGCAGCTGCAGGAGGAGGTTGGTCACCGTGGCATGTCCGTTGCAGTTAGTCCTGGACAGCTTAAGTGCTGAGCGTGAATTTCTTCTACCCAGCAGCCGCAAGAGGTAAATAATTTTGCGATCCATCTTTCTCTGACAAGGAAGCTCAGGCTCCAAGGCCGTCGGCCAACTCTTCTGTGTCACTTGACTCTTTTGCCAGAGCTGAAGTGCCCAGCGGGAGGGGAAATGCCCACCTGAGCCTGAAGCCTGGAGAGTTTCCTCATCCGCTTTGATGCTTCGCAGGGAAGGTGACCCAGGGCGTCTCCCAGATGAACAGTCTCTCCTCCCGCTCTCATGTAAGCCCCGTGGCAGGTCGGCAGTCCAACGAGAGAGGCAGTGAGTTAGAGAGAGCTTCACATCCTTTGCCACTTCTTCCATCAAAAAATGAAATTCGCCCTGACCAGTTGCTCAGTGGTTAGAGCGTTGGCCTGAGGACTGAAGGGCCTCGTGTTCAATTCCAGCCAAGGGCACGTACCTCGGTTGCAGGCTCAATCCCCGGCTCCAGTTGGGGCAAGTGTAGGAGGCAACCAGTTGATGTGGCTCTCTCACATTGATGTTTCTCTCTCCCTGTCTCTCCTCCTCCCTTCCACTCTGTCTAAAAATCAATGGAAGCCTTCATCAGTTTGGCTCAGTGGATCGAGCATCAGCCTGTGGACGGAAGGATCCCGGGTTTGATTCCGGTCAAGAGCACATGCCCAGGTTGCAGGCTTGTTCCCCAGTGTGGAGCCTGCCGGAGGCAGCCAATCAACGATTCTCTCTCATCATTGATGTTTCTCTCTCTCCCTCTCCCTTCCTCTCTGAAATAAACAAATATAAAATAAATAAATAAAAATAAAAATCAATGGAAACAATATCTTCCGGAGAGGATTAACAATGTGAGGGGAGCACATTCAAGGTTTATATTGGAACCTGTCGTTTTGACCCTCCGTAGTGTCTATAGGACTCTGGCTACACCAAGATGACCTTCCTGAAGTCACCAGTGCACTTGGGTGGGCTCCGTGCACGATGCTCTCTTCCTAACACCCCCTGAGACCCCCTCTGCCCCCCACGCCCCCAAGGCTGATCTCCGAACTGTGCTGGCCTCGTTTTTTGTCCAGCCTGACCTTTGGCAAAAGGTAATACATCTGCTCACTGTTGGGCTACGTGAGCCTCTCGTCAAGTGTAAATGGATGGGCGGTCTCAGATCCATTTACACCTGATGAAGAGCTGCCTTTATGGCCTCGTGTTCTGTGTATGTTTTCCCACAGATGTGTTTAATCAAGCCCTCACGCTCTCTTTACTTCCAATCGATTTCCATGGCGGGTCTGCCAGACCTCTGAGTTCCTGACTACTCTGACTACCCTTGCGCTCGCCTAGCCCAATGATCAGAGCCGGGTCTGAACTCTAGTTCTTTGGGGGTGGCTTGGATGTGTGAAGCAAGAGTTACAGTTCTTTCTCTTGCAAGAGACGCAACCCCACTTTCCTTTTTTTTTTTTTTTTTAAGAGTTAGAGGAGATGAGGCTGACACAAGGGGGAGGGACACAATCTTTATTTCTGTGGGTTCCTTAAGGCAACAGAGGAAGCCGAGAGGCCACTGGAGTCTAGTTAATGAGCAGGTTATACAATATTCATTGTGCTGAGTTCAACTCTTCAAACAGGACGTCTAATTGCAAAAGAAGAAAAAGCAGCTAAATACAGTTGTTGAAACAACAAAGCTTGGGAAGGACTCCGTGCTTCCTGCACTAACCGCGAGCTGACAGCACCCAGCGGGCCCTGTGCTCCCCAGCTCTTCTCATTAGCTCTGTTCTGAGACACTACAGGGTCTAAGAAGGCCCCTGAGAGGCTGAGACGACGGCTTCTCCGAGGACTGTTTTCTTGCCATCCACAGAGGGGGTGATCCAGTTGTATTCAGCTTCAACCAGGACACAGCTGTTCTCCCCAAGCTGCCTGACATGCACAGCCTCACCCCCGTCACTCCTGGCAATCGCACCCCCTGCAGGCTCCCTGAAGGACACCCCTGTCCGCTTGTGGCAATACTGGGTGTGCAGATAGCAAAGGCCAGCAGCCAAAACCATGCCCAAGGTGGCCAAAAGGCAAAGCAGGATTCCCAGTTGGAGAGTCTGGAGCTAGATCCCTGAAGGGGCATGGGCTCCCTCTTGCCCGGCCTCGGGTCTTGGGTGGGTCTCCCTGGGGTAGCCCACTCTGCCCTCTCCATTTCCCTCCCCCTCTCTGAGCTCCTCATGCTTTGACTGAGGCAAAAAGCTGGCAGAGGCCCCAGCTGCCTCCAATTGGCCAGCAGTAGTGAGTGGCCCTGGAGAGGCCGAGGTGTGGGAGACAAGTGTTGGGTTGGCTGCCCCAGCCCCAGCCCCAGCCCCAGCCCCAGCCCCAGCCAGCGTTCCAGAAGACCAGAGGCGCTGAGGGTAGGTAAGATGGATGGTGTCCATGCGAGGCCTCATCACGGTCCTGTTAGAGGCCTCCACCTTGTCCTAGAAAAGCAGAGGGGAAGTCAGAGGGGCTGGTCTTCACCCAAGATGCCACTGGACATTGCAGCCAATCTGTGCTCTTGAAAGAATTCCAAGCAGCAGCTGAAAGCCCCGTCTTGTGCCTACTCCTACAAGAGCTCAGAGTAAATAGCCCGACTAGATAAATATGCACGTGTTATTGATGGGACGGGGTGGCTAATGGAAACCCCACAGAGAGCACGGAGGCCACTTACCAGAACAAACTTGGGGTGGCTTCCAGACCGATATGGATGGTTGTCATCGCCAGTGGCCGACAGCTGTCAGTTATCTTTTTATGCTAACACCCACGTAAGCGGGACCATTTAATCTGATAAATCTGAGTAAGATTATTATACCACATTTTACTTTGTGTTCCTTTTAAGACTTCAAAGGAACATTAATTCACTGGATATGTCTATTTTATATTGGCCATTTATCCAACCTCTGGGACTATGCATGGTCTTATAAGGCCAATGTTATGAAGCAGGGGTTGGGGGCAAGGAGGAGAGAGGAATTATTAACCAAGCTGAGTGGAAAAATAAATCACTAAAACCATCAATTTCTACAATTGCCAATAACTTCAGAGACAAAGGCTGGTATTGGTTGGTAGAACGATGCTGTGCATACATTTGACCCTTGCCTCCTTCTCTCTAGCCTTGGCTATTAGGCTAGTAGCTCTTATCTCCCAGCCTGGACCTTCCCACTCTGAGTTCAACATACCGACCTCACCCTCCATGCACAACTCGGGCTGTTACCTGTTCATTCCTATCTGAGGACAGGCAAGCTTCTGATGAATTGAAGCTTGGATCATCCTGAGTCCTAAAGAGAAGAATGGAGGTGCTGAGAAGAGGTCACTAGATCAAAAAGCAATTTTTCCTATCACTGTTGTGTATACTGATAAAGTCAGATTGCCTTGAAAGATGCCTGAGGTTGGAGTTGGGGGCTGAATGGGGAAAGAGGTGAGTGAGGATGACAGCAAAGAACTCACTGACCATTTTTATCTATTACTTTATATAAGTGTATATTTATATATTATAAATACATATGTCTAAAATATAAAAATTATATTTATGTTTCATTTTATTTATAGCAGCATGTCAGAGCCCTCACTCTGTCCAAGAGAGTACACTTTGCCCAGGTGATTATCATACCCAGCTCTTTTGACCAGTAGCCCTTCTACAATCAGGGTTTCTCTTACACTGAAGAATAACTATGGTTGAGATCTTTTTCTGTCTGACTCCAAGAAGTTCACATTTCCTCAGCACCTTTGTGTGTGGAGTCATCCCACAAAATTACTGACTGGCCCACCCCCTGGCCCATTACCTGTGGTGGGTACTTGGGCTGGAAGCAAAGCCCTCGGTGGACAATCTCCTGAGGGCCATGAGCCTCTCCAGCTGGCGGACATCCAGGGAGGGTTCTAAGGTTGGGTCGCTGTCCCCGCCGGCTGGCCGGCCACGGCTGTCTGCAGTAGCTGTGTGTGAGGACGGTTGGAACACAGCCTCTGCATCCCCAGGAAGCTCTGACACCGCAGTACTGGCAGGAACAGGATCGAAGCTGTCCTCTTCTGCAGCCCCAGCGAGGGCAACAGCAAGAGTATCTGTGCGCTGCTGCCCAAGAGTGACAGGGAGACTGGGAGCTAAACAGAGGCCCACAGACATTGCAAAGAGAGGGAGAGCGTTTCGTGGCATGGATCAGCACCAGCAGCGGCGATAATGGGCAAATACTCGAGGCTTTGATGTGCCTTGAGGACAGGCCATTAAGTGTGAGCCACTCAGAAGTGTTAATATAAAATACAAGTAATACAAGCCAGCAATACAAGCCCTGACCAAGCAACAAAGCACTCCATTTCTCTTTTTGTTAATCCTTACCTGAGTATATTTTTTTCATTGATTATTAGAGTGAGCGGAAGAGAGGGAGGGTGGGGGGCGGAGGAGAAACCTCGATTGGTTGCCTTCCACAAACATCCCAATTGGGGCTGGGCATTGAACCTGCAACCCAAGTACTGGCCCTTGACCGGGAATCAAATCCACGACCTTTTGGTGCATGGGCCAATGCTGTAACCACTGAGCGACACCAGCCAGAGTGAAGCACTCCATTTCTTAGCTCTTTTTAGAGTAAATTGCTGGACTTCTGGGCTTGTGTATTCCTAAATCACCAATCAGGGAATATGGAAACCACTGCATTTTTTCTCATCTCTGCCAAAACCTGCTTCTAGCTAGAAAAAAAAGTGAAATCTCATAAATCAGATGCTGAACAGCCCTCAATCTTTCTAGCCATGTTAGTAACACGAAGTTTCCGGGCTCTGGCAGTGACTTTAGCCTCTGCTGTGAGATCACTGCCCTGCACTGCCCTCCACTGTCTCGTGTCCCCTCTGTGACCGGCTAACACGACAGCCCAGCATCAGAAATAGCTGCACACAGTGCAGTGAGCCAGTGTGGGTTTCACAGTCAGATTATTGTCTGGATCAGCGGTTCTCAACCTGTGGGTCGCGGCCCCTTTGGTCGAACGACCCTTTCACAGGGGTTGCCTAAGGCCATCCTGCATATCAGATATTTACCTTACGATTCATAACAGTAGCAACATTACAGTTATGAAGTAGCAACGAAAATAATTTTATGGTTGGGTCACAACATGAGGAACTGTATTTAAAGGGCCAGAAGGTTGAGAACCACTGGGATTGTGCTCTCCACTCTGCTAATTGCTGGAGGCTTTGGGCAGGTCCTCCCAGAGCATCAGTTTCTTCATTTGCAAAATGGGACCAACAGCAGTCCCGGCAGCACGTGATGTTGAGGGGTGATGTGGGTCGTTGAAGGAGCATGACGCCCTCCTGGCACAGACACACGGTGCCGAGGGCCTTCCTCCTCGATGGCTAGGATGATGGTGATGGGGTTCTCACAAAGTGTTGGCAAAGTTTCCCTGCCCAGGGCTCCAACTGGGTTGAGTTGAATCTTTTTATTTGGGGGGGAGTGGGTGCTACTTTGTTCCATTGACTTCATCACTCAAAAACATTGAGAATGAGGTGAAAAATCAATAAACCTAACACAGAGGTATGACAAAAATTCTTGACAGTGTAAAACTCCCACCTGAACTCTGAATGCACTCGGACATCTGCGGGCCCACTGTGTGCTGGGCACTGCCACAGGTTCAGAAGGGGTGATTTGTTTCTGAACTGAAATCTAGGAGAGGCTCTTAGATGTCCAACCTTGTCAACGACATTGTGGTGACAGCTTTAACACCAGAGCTAAGGAAGCAGTTACATCTGCCTACTAAGGAGAATGGGAAAAGTTTCACAAAGGCAATATCTGAACTGCCCCTTGGAAGATAAATAGATCATCATGAGGCACAGTCCCGTTTGAGGAAATGTCGGAAGGCAAAACATGGAGACATAAAAGTAGGTCATGTCAAATGAGGTCGGGCAGGACCCCGAAGGGTCCCAAGGGTCTGTTGGGAAACGTTTGAGAAATACAATATGCTATCTTCCCAATGTGAAAATTCATAAGTCCCACTGGCCTGTTGAGGTCGTCTTATGGTTAAGAAATCTATTTCATTTTGTTAGATGAATGATACCTCCCCCAACACACACACACACACACACACACACACACACACGTGCACACACATACGCGTGCATGCGTGTGCACACACACACACACTCCTTTATCCTTTGAGAAACACTAGGGTTTATGTAGAGCAGCGGTTCTCAACCTGTGGGTCGCGACCCTTTTGGGTGTCAAACGACGCTTTCATGGGGGTCGCCTAAGACCATCGGAAAACACATATATAATTACATATTGTTTTTGTGATTAATCACTAGGCTTTAATTATGTTCAATTTGTAACAATGAAATTGGGGGTCACCACAACATGAGGAACTGGATTAAAGGGCCGCGGCATTAGGAAGGTTGAGAACCACTGGTGTAGAGGAAGAGGCAGGAAAACAGGCTGGGGTCGGAAAGGGAGGAATGTGAGCAGCATAATCAGGCGTTACCCATTACCCACAGCTGCTCAGACTGGAGGGTTGGACCCCCTCGGGGACAAGGTTCCCGCAGGGTCAGCCAAGGGGGACGTGGCAAGACCATCAGGAGGCCCCTTCCTGAAGCCTCACTTTTACTCAGGCGCATTGAAGGAAGCATGCCTGAGATCAGAAAGCCACATTTGCATGATTTATAAAATAAAACATGAGACTTCAGACACATGGTGGGCTCGCAGCACCTGCTTCAGGCCACACGGAGAGGTTTGCTGCGCTTTTAGGAATATGCTGGTGGAGAGGCTGGAGGAGCAGTGCTGGGGGCTGGGAGAAGACAGAGGCTTGGGGCAAAGGCAGCGTGTGGAGGGTGGAGGCCCAGGGTTAGCCCTGGGCCTGGGTCTACCAGACTGAGCAGTCAGGGATTCAAATTGGATCCCGGGCATAACAAGTTAACAGAGAATAAAAGAAAGAATAAAGGAAAGTGGGATTGATTGGATTAAAGACTAGGTTTTCTGTGCATCTGTTCAGAGAACTTAACTAAAATTCAAAAATGAAAATGAATTCCATAGCACCAGTAATTTTCAGGTAGGTGAAGCATTCTCTAGCTGGTTAATGTTTTTGTTTTATTTGTTTGTTTCAGAAGTTCATGGGCCAGTGGGGTCTAAAATCACATGGTGAACAGGGAAAGAAATTTCATTGCCATCAACAGACTGATTCCTGGGACTGTTCTCCAACCCAGGCTGCCAAGAGCCATCTACGTACTGTGGAAATGAACAATAAACTGGATGAGTTCTTATTGAAGAAGGAAGAAGAGGAGAATGAGGAGCAGGGGAGAGAGGAGGAGAAGGAAGAGGAGGAGGAGGAGGAGGAGGAGGAGGAGGAGGAGGGGGGGGGGGAGTGATCATTTCTTTCTTGAACTCCTCTGCAGGGTTTGAGGAAAACCACTGAAATATTGTGATGATTGGTAGAGTTGGGGGTGGCAGAAGGCGGTTGCTATTTTTTTGTTTTATTGTACAGTTCTAACTCTTCACCCTAAGGTTCAACTTAATTTGGGTGGTTGAGTGGACAGTGTTTGTTGCTACAAACACAGCAACTGGGCACATCCCCACCTGCTAACGGCTGTGTTACTGTGGTAGGCAGTGAGAGGACATGAGCAGAGCAAGGAGGATGGGCCAGGTACACAAGGTCGCCAGGGCCAATAGTCCTGAGTGCCTAGTAACGGACAGTATAGGATGGGACCTCGCCAGCACAGTGCCCTTTCCTCTCCTGGCTTACCGATGGTCATGCGGTTTGGACCCCTGACCTTTCCTCCCTCCCTCGAGATAACTTCTAGGCCTCTGTTGTATTTCAGCTCCAGGCTCAGAAAAGCAACAAAACCAGACCAGTGACCCCAGGGCTGACCTCAGGGCCAGCTGCATTGAATAATGACCCCCTGCCCTGGTGCCAACCAATCAGTGGAGACAAGACCCTGAAAGGACACACCTGGAGAGCTGCTGAATATTCTGTTAAGATATCCCCCTGGCCCTCCCCTGAAATCTCCACCCTGAAAACCCTTAGGCAGAGGGTCCAGTACCCCTCCCACCCCAGCCTGCCCCTGACTTTCCCTTCACCTCCCCCACAGCCTCCCCAGGCACAATACCATTAGCTTCCTAACTCCCAGACTCCCAGGGCCTGCCTTTGCCTCTGTAACTTGTTTCCTCAGTACATTTCTTCTACGAATTACTTCTTCCATTTCTGTGAGTTTATAAATACATCTTCTCTTATAGTTTGAATTCTTTCCTAGCCAGAACTCAAGTACCCAGGTTGCTGAACCCAGGTCCGGTCTGACCCCACTGGTCTAACACCTGGAGCCTTTCCTGTCGCCAACAACATTATCACAAATTGCTGCTGTCGGCCAAGGCAGGTGACTATTGCTTGTGTTGCAGAAACTGGAAACTAGTAACTTTGAAGTGAAAATAGGTAACTCTAAATTAGAATGCCAATCCGGCTAGTGAATACAGCGGCCAGCGGTACCTGGGGCAGGTCTTTCCTCCGCATCCTCGGCCTCCGCCCCAGGGTGGGCAGCAGTGAGCCGGGCTCCACGCGGCCATGGGGAGGGGCTCCGCTGCTCGTCCGCTGAGACACAGCGGACGACTCGATCCTTGCCCAGTAAACGAAATATGACTGGACGACTGATAAACTGGGGAAAGACAGCAGGGTGATCAAGGGTTTAGTTTTCCTTAAATAAAACCGCAGGCCATCCTACTAGACAAGAAGAAACAAACAAACAGATAAAGAAGAACGAAAGTCTGAATTAAAAGAGCCAGAGAGAGATGACAGCATTGCCCCTGGAGCAACTTCATTCTTTTTAAAAACAAAAACTCAATAGCAGCGAATAATGAAAATAGGAGAGGATAAGCACAAATCAATAAACATAGTCATTAAACATTGCATTTTGATTAAAGGGTGTCTTCTTTAACTGTTCAGACTCAAAAGGTTTTATCTTTGACTTTATTAATAGCCACTTCTGGTATATTGTTATTTGAATTACACCATCAATTATAATTCTACTGTACAATTGCACAATTCTATGTAATTGCAGATTCTATTGAAAATTAGAGATAAGTCATTAATAAATACTCTAAGCAATATTTTGAATACGTATGCCTTTCTCCAGTAAAAATCAGTTTCATAAACACTCTCTCATTTATCCTCCCCAAAATTTCACCAATGTAGTAATCAGATTATTGGCAAGTGTCATTTTTCTCACGGCACATATTCAGAAAGCAGTTACACAAATGTGATTGATTCGCTGGGGCCATCCAGAGAGTGAAGGTGCCCGGAAGAGCCACGGTAGGGGACTCGACACATGGTGGTTATTGTGGGAAAGGGCCGGAGGTGAGAGAGCGTGGGGCGACTTTGGGAGCCGCTTCTGACCAAGTGACTTAGCTCCTTTTCTGCCAAATGGAGATAACAGCTTCTAAACTAGTTCCTGTGGCAGCTGAGATGGTAAATCTGAAAATAGAAACGAGATGCTTTGGAAAAATAGAAGTAACTGTACAGGTTTAAGGACTTCACACCCCACACACCCCTGCATTTGGACCAGAATCAAAAGCTTGGCAGAAGCTGGGTCACCCCAGCAGCCACGTGGCAAAATCATCAGAGCCCGGGGTTCTCCTCCGTGCTGTTCTGCCTGCTGCGTTAGGACATGAGGAAGGGATGGAAAAGGAACACCCAGGGTGGGGGCCACGGACCTCCTCCGTCGCTGTCCCCAGTGCCGAGGGAAGCATGGGGTCTGGGTGCCGCCACCCTCAGGCACAGCCTCCCTCTTACACGCCCGAGGGGGTGGGGAAAAGCAACTGAGGAAGAAAGGAAACACACCCTTCCCTAAAAACAACAGCAATGAAATGCTTTCTTTTTCAATGCAAGTGTCCCATTCTGGGGCGATGCTGCAGCTTACACCGGGCTCTCTGTTGCCAGGCGCTGTTCTGAGCTGGCTGCCTGCAGGGCCCTTCCCCGGGGTGGTGCTGCCATTGCTACAGGGGCAGAGACCTCAGTGGCTCTCCCTGGGCCGCGGCGGCTCCACCGGCCTGTCTGCCTCAGCCGCTCTCCCACCAGCAGCTCCCTGGTCCTCGGCGGAGAACTCCCTGGGGAGGTTGCCCAGGATTCGTCTGTGCGCAGGGAGGAGGGGAAATCGCACACTTTCTGGACCACGGAGAATGGGAAGGAGGGGAGATGGGGCAAATGCTTTCCGTCCCCCGCTGCACAGGCTCTCTAGCTGGGGTAGCCGCAGTGAGCCCGTCCCTGTCATAAGGTGGCCGGAGAGGTGGGAAGGCTAGTGACTGAGGAGCAGCGCGTGGCTCTTACAGGAATGGCACGTCCCCCACGGGCTGGGCAGGGGCCTTCCACACGAAGGACCGGCTTCTCTTCCGGGACTTGTCAGCGTGGGTGACTGTCCGCCTCTTCAAAACAGCTCATCAGTCCGGAGTGAGGAGGAACGAGCAGGAAAGGGCCGGCTACTTGATGATCGGACGCTCTCCGGGCCTGAAGCAGAAATCCCAGGAAATCACGACTGCTCCTCACAGTCACTGCAACAGAGGACGCGCGTTCCAGGTGAGCGCACCTGGCGCAGCGCCACGTGCGGGCCTTACAGGGGCGTCCCCCAAACCAGAAGCGTCATGCTTGGCCCCAGAAAATGAACAGCTCATGGGGAGGAGGGGGTGGGGGGGTGGGGGTAGAAATGGATGTGATATTTTACACCCAAATAATATCCATTTGGATCAGAGAAATGTAAAAATCACATGCAAAGGAATTAAACAATTAACAATGTTTTAAAACATATACATTGGAGTTAGGAATGCCTCTCTCTCTAAGCCAGCGGTTCTCAACCTGTGGGTCGCGACCCCTTTGGGGGTCGAACGACCCTTTCACAGGGGTCACCTAAGACCATTGGAAAACACATATATAATTACATATTGTTTTTGTGATTAATCACTATGTTTTAATTATGTTCAATTTGTAACAATGAAATTGGGGGGTCACCACAACATGAGGAACTGTATTGAAGGGTCGCGGCATTAGGAAGGTTGAGAACCACTGCAAGCAAAACCCAGTAGCCATAAAGGAAAAGATTATTTTTTTTTAAAGATACTGCATATGGAAGAAATCAAAAGACAAATGGTAAACTGAGAAAAAATATTTGTAAGATACAAAACAGACAAATATACAGAGTTACAGTGAATCCATAAAAAGATAACAAGACCCAAAATTATGAAAGGACTCCACAAGAAATGAAACAAGCTCAAACATAATTGTAAACATAATTATAAATGAAACACCATTTTATTCCCGTCATGTAAATAAACTTAAAACTGTGTCATCATAGCCGTACTGATTGGACTACAGGAAGAGGGGAGCACTCATTCACTAATGCTGGGCCTCTAAATCGGGCAACTTCCTCGCGGAGGCAACGGGGAAACATTTTCCAGACTTAAAATGCAGTCACCTCTGGTACACCTGCAACGTGGATGAGCCTAGGAAACCTTATAGCAAGTGAAATAAGTCAGGCCCAAAGTGACAACTATTGAATGATTCCACTTAGTATATGAGAGACAGAAAGATTCGAGGTTGCCAGGAGCTGGGGGAGAGGGGAGCACCCTCTTACTGGTGTCTCTCTCTTCCCTGGCTTCCTTCCCCTCCTCCTCATCTGCACGTCTGGGGATCACCTCCCAAATAAACTCCCTGCACTTGAATTCTTTCTCTGTTTTTGGAGGCCCCTGAACTAAAGTAGTGGGAAATGCTCTTTCACTCCTCAAATAATTTTAGTTTTAAATAATGAGGAAAAAAGTATATTTTACACATCCAGATACACAGGATACATGAAGTTTGTTCAGGGTAACTACATTATGTCTTATACTAAGGACAGAATAATTTTTTAAAAATATATATTTTATTGATTTTTTTTACAGAGAGGAAGGGAGAGGGACAGAGTTAGAAACATTGATGAGAGAGAAACATCGATCAGCTGCCTCCTGCACAACCCCCACTGGGGATGTGCCCGCAACCAAGGCACATGCCCTTGACTGGAATTGAACCTGGGACCCTTCAGTCCACAGGCCGACGCTCTAGCCACTGAGCCAAACCGGTTAGGGCACAGAATAATGTTTTTAATAACGTTATTTGTGCCCTCCTCCTGTAAAGATGAGTATCAATATAGAGATTAGCTATGTGATAACAAATATTTTGTGCTTGTCTTTGGCTACTTTATTGCTTCTTTGGATTAAGCCAGAGTTTAGCCCAGGAAACTCCTGGGCGGACAAACCAATTTGGAATTTGTCACTGGGGCCCCGAGGCTCCCCGGGGTGTCTCAAAGCCTCTCCCGTGGTTCCTGGCACTGTGCCACCTGGAGCTAGGAAGACCTGCAGGTGTAGATGGTGATGTGGTGGGGCCTGGGATTCCGCGGCTGGGCCTGGAGGTGCTGGGGCTGCATGTCCTCGCTCCAGGGAGAAGACGGCGGAGCAGGAAGCCAGGTGAGGGCGGCACAGACCCAGCCTGTGAGGGCAGTGGCCACTCGCATCCTGCCCTTCCCTGCGTCACAGGAAACACCAGCTTCAATCCAGATGCTATTTACCAAAATGACATGATGTCTTTGTGAATGTGACTGACCTGAGTCCCTCGCTGCCTTTAAGCCCGAGGTCCCTGGAAGGCTGCCTCCCAGATTGCAATCACTCAAGGTCAAGATCAAAGACACACCACGCTATTGGGAGTGTTTTATTTCTAAACACTTAAAATAAAATCACCTTTCTTCCTTTAATTTTCTCAAAGTCCAGACCACTTCTTTTTAAAAAGAAGATTTAATATTTAAGTTGAAGAAATAAGACAAGAAAATAATTATGCTCTATTGCGAACTCCTTACAGACCGTCTGCTATCCACGGTCAGGGTGAGCTAGAGTTGTTTAACACATTATTGCTGAAGCTAGACACCCTGTATTCCAATACGGTCAGGCAGCACGGCATATGGTAGCTTGGATTAACATCTTATCTCTATAATTGCAAATCACAGTTAAATGCTACAAAATTCTGCCAACTCTCAATTACTTAGAAGTCACTGCTGCGTTCCCAACACATTGACAGCTCCTGTCCTCCCTCCTGTTGACTGTTTTTAGTTATTTCACTACTTTGTCAAAGAGGAGATGAGCAGAAAACGTTATAACCAAAGGGAGCCACTCTACACCTTGTTAAATACAGTGGCAAAAAGAGCTGGCTTGGAAATGGAATAAAATGATTGGATGAAGTAACATTGACAGAGTAATTTTCATTTGTGTTTGCCACCTTGAATGACCATCAACAAAAAGAATTCAAAGTTGACTGTGTAAAAGAAGTTCACAGGTGAAAATAAAGTGAGAGATAGCAAATAAGACAGATAAAAAGCTCTCTGAATAAATATTCAGGACTGTCAGACATTCTTTTTTAAATAGCTATTTGTTTTTGTAGTCATATGCACAGATATTTTAAAAGTTATAATATTTTTATCTAAGGAGCAAGGCAAAGCAACAATAGCCCTCCTCTCTAGTGAGTTGGTTTTAAAAGGTAAAAATAAAATGTACTCCGGAGTAAAAATTTGGTGAAACTAGTTATAAAAGCAATAGATTAAAGAGACCATCCATACAACTAAATAGTCAAGTGCCATCTAATCCTATCTTATCTTCCCATGCCATCACCACCACCTTCTACACTGACCAGACAAGGGAGACAGGAGCATGATTTATAGATCAAATCCTTCAGACAATACCTTTCTCTGCTAGGTTTGTTTTCCATGATGCAAAAACCTCTACACCACAAGGTTTCCAGAACATCCTATATAATAAAAGGCTAATATGCAAATTGATCAAACAGAAGAATGACCAGTCACTATGATGCACACTGACCACCTGGTGGCAGACGCTCAATGCAGGAGCTGCCCCCTGGTGGTCAGTGCACTCCCACAGTGGGAGCACTGTTCAGCCAGAAGCCCTGAGCTGGGCTCACAGTTGGTGAGTGCAGCGACGGTGGCAGGAGCCTCTCCTGCCTCTGCAGCAGTGCTAAGGATGTCCGACTGATGACTTATGTAGGGAGCGAGCCTAAGCCGTCAGTCAGACATCCCCCAAGGGCTCCCAGACTGCGAGAGGATGCAGGCCAGGCTGATGCCGCCCCCCCCCCCCCCCCCCGCCAAATGCACGAATTTCGTGCACTGGGCCTCTAGCTAAGAGATAATGAACAATGAATTGTAAAGCATATTCTCAGTGGAGGGGACCTAGGGCCCTGACATTTTCAGAAGGGTCACATAGAAAATGCCCCTGTGCCCTTGTTCAGGGCAAAAGGTGGTCTCCTCTCTCCAAAGGCAGATCAAACACTGATGCCTAGAGAGGCAAGGAGTGAGTGGCACGCCCCACAGAACCCCACCGCAGCCACAATCCTACCCCTTCCCTCCTAAGATCTTGCAATTTCTGCTTTCTCCCAGCATCTGGTCTACCTGAACCCGAGATAGCATGAACTACCTAAGAGCACACGGTCCTTCAGGTTTGATGGAATTGCAAAGACACATCCTTTACACAAGTCTTTTCTTCTCCATTCAGTTTCTCCTCAAATGGGCAGGAAAACAGCTGTTACCCTAATCCTGGCATCCATAGGAACTGTCCCTCCGTGTCCAAATCTGGCCTTAATCGCATTGATTTTCTCTAAGGCCACATACACGCAGTTTCCACATCAACATTATCCAAGCCCATGTGAAGAACTAGACCGAACTGGAACAGGTTGTGCCCATGCCTGGCACTGGCAGCAGGAGCCCAATGTCTTTACCTTGGTCTCCCTGCCAAGGGGAGAATGAATGAATCAGCCAACCTCTGCATTCTCTGCTTCGGAGTCAAGGTGGGCTGAAGACGTTACCCCTGGTGAGGTGAGGTTGATGCGGTGGCCAGAGAGCCAAGCTTCACAAAAACATCCCACAGCACACTCCCTCCCCTCTATTGCACTGAAGCTGGAGTTCACAAATTTGGATACACATAAGAATCACCGTAGACTCTTGATCATAACACAGAGCCTGCACAGCAGTGGCTCTCAAAGTAGGGTCCCCAGAGCACATCATCGGGGCCTTGTTAGAAGTACAAATTCCTGGACCCCACTCCGGACCCACTGAATCAGGGGTAGGGTCCAGCAATCTGTGGTTTAACAAGCCTTCTAGGTTATTCCAGTACAAGTAAGAGTTGAGAAACACTAATATAGATTCCCCAGGCTTCTCTCTAGTCCCGTGAAATAAAATCTGCAGGAGAAAGTATTTTAAATCTGCATTTTTATTACACACCCCAGGAGATTCTTTTGACCAGGCAAGTTAGGAAAACACAGAGTTGAAGAATCAGAAGAAAGTCAGTCAGTAAACCCACGGAGACTGCAGGCCCTGTCCCATCTGGGATTTACTGGTAACGATGCTGAGCGTCTCCAAGGACGTTTGACAGGTTGCAATGAGAGTTAGCAAAATGAGGATCTGAACACCAAATTTGTGCCAGGCATTTATTTGGACAAAAAACAAAGATGAATTAGACACTATCCAGACCCATCAATACACACAAGAAAATGGAGGAGACTCAAAAGGCTCCATGGTGTGTGGTTCTATGTTTATAACTTTCTGAGAAAGGCAAAGTGATAGGAGCAGAAACAGGTCAGGGGTGGCCAGGGGCAGGGCTGTGGGGAGGAGTGATTGTTGGGGGATGATGACACTCTTCTGAAAGGCATGTGGTGCTCACATAACTGCATGCACTTCTTAAAATTCATAGACTGTGCCCCAAACCCTCATATAAATAAAAACTGTGTATAAATAAAAAAGTAGAACAAACAAAAAAAATGAAGGTTACACAAGTAACTATTAGGGAAAAGGGATTTTTTAAAGGTGTTAGTTGAGATGAACTCTATGAGAGCCCCACAAAGTTTCACATAGGTTACATCTGAACTGAATCTTAAATAGCGAGTGAGTTTTTCTTGTAAATGAAGAAAGAAGAACATTCTAGGAAAAGAGGGATGTGTTGAGTACATTGTAGTCCGTGCCCTGACTGCAACCCCTGTAGTCTGATGGGTTCGAAGTGTGGTCCCTGGGCCGGCAGCATCCTCATTGCCCGGAGCTCATGAGGAGGGCAGACCCTCAGGCCCCACTGAGTATCCACTGAGCTGATTTCGGCATTTTAACAGCCACCCTTTCTCCCCTATGGTTCTTATGCATATTGAGGCCCAAGCACACTTCTCCAGAGCTCATCTGCCCTCATCTCAGCCCTGGGAAGAGTCCCCACACACCATGCCACAACCTCCCCTTCTCACCAGGATTGATTGGTTACAGGTGGCAGTTTTCCCAAGACCTCAATCCATTGATAGGACAGCAACCAATCAGGCTGCCTTGGGAATCTGGACTTTTCACAAAACACATTTGAGCTAAAAGATTAAGGAAAGCTAGAAGGGACTAGGTGACAGCAAGCCAAACAGAATTTCACTTCCGAGAGCTTTCCCAACATTCCCCTTCTCCTTGACTGGGTTTAGTGTGAGGGTTAGAAACATCAATGATGAACAAGAATCATTGATCAGCTGCCTCCTGCACGCCCCACATGGGGGATTGAGCCTGCAACCTGGGCATGTGCCCCAGCTGGGAATCAAACCACAAGTGTTCATACATCAACGCTCAACCATGGCCACACCAGCTGGGCCTCATTATCTTTATGGACCATTGGGAGAAAAACGGGCTAGGCCACAGTGCATTGATATTTGGTCAAATATCCTATGTGTTTCTGTAAGATATTTTTAGATGAGATTAACACATAAATTGGCAGAATTTGAGTAAAGCAGATTGCCCTCCATAATGTGGGTGGGCTAAATCCAATTAGTCGAAGGCCTTAACAGAAAAAGAAAGGGAGATTCTGCCGGCAGACTGCCTTTGGACTTGAACTGCATCCCTTCCCCAGGTCTCCAACCTACCAGCCACCACTGTATTTTGGACTTGTGTGAGCCAATTCCTTAAATAAATCTCTCTTCCTCTCTCCATACACAGACACACACACCCTATTGGTTCTGTTTCTTTTGTGAACCTTAATACCTATACTGGGGTAGTTGTTACCATTGTTCACAAATATTTCTGGTTTTCTCTCCGTCTGCATTCATGAAAGGATTACATGTTCCTGAAAACTTAAAAGTAAACCATGGTCATGTAACTTGCTTTGGCTAATAAAATGGAGTGAGTGACCGGTACCACTTCTAAGCAAAAGCATTGAAGAGCCAGGACATGACTTTAAGAAAGTATATTTTGGTAATCCTCACCCTATTTTTTCCATTGAATTCTTAGAGAAAGTGGGAGTGAGGGAGGGAGGGAGGAGGAAGAGAGATGGATTAGTTGCCTCCCCATAAGTGCCCTGACAGGGGCTGGGGGCCAGGGATGGAACCTGCAATTCCCATACATACCCTTGACCGGGAATTGAACCTGTGACTCTTTGGTGTGTGGGCTGACACTCTAACCACTGAGAAACATTGGCCAAGGCCAGGGCATGATTCGTTAGTCTCTCCCCTGTGGCACCAAGCTTTGAGTGATGCTGATATAGTAGAAACTTAAGGTGCTGCCTCCCTCAGCCTGGGACCCAGGGTAGAGCACTAAAGAGAATCGTTTGCCATTTCAAAAAAACTGCGATTTGGGGTTGTTTATGATACACCGCTCAACATGCCGATTACAAATTTTTTATTTTTTCATTGTTGCAATTTCAGTAGGACATTTGATATGGACAATGAATAGTGATTTGGAATACTGTGTGCATTCACATGATGGCATGAGTTTTTCTAAAATGATTGTATGTAAACTTTTCACTAACTGGCTCCCCTTTAGTCCACACTATTGTTACAGTATTTTGCCAAACCCACCAGCATCAATTCCATTATAAAACTTGGAATAAATGGAGCCCATATGGATATGAACATTTTGTAAACAAGACCTCGAGAACTAGTCTAACCAACTGTCAAATGTTTTATACTTTTATGGAGATCCTAGAATGTGTCCACCTTCTAGCTGCTACAAGTCCCAAATTACTTCTAAGAAAAGAAAATCTTTCAATAAGGCAGATGAAACAAAACAGAAAATGTGGCTTTTGCTAGATGGAAAAATAAGTATCAAGATGGAGGTTGAACCACATGGGCCTGTGGGGAAATGAGATAAGCAGATGGAGACAATCATTTTCAAAATTATCTAGTCCTGAGGTTATCTGGAACCTCAAGACATGAACATATGGTTGAGATTATCAGATCCATCTAAAGTGTTCTGATTTTAAAATGAATTCTCAAAATTTTGGCCCACTTAGAAAAAAAGAATGGATAGCACCACTTTTTTCCACAAATACCCAAATCGACAAACTCAGTATGGAGGGAATGACCCAGGTAGCATTTACTTCAATGCCCCATTAGGCCTTGCACAGTGCCCTGCCTACAGTTGTCATTCAATAAGTGCTAAACTGACTTCTGTTACCACTTTCTCAAACCCGCCATGCCCCAGACAAGGGAAGCAGACGAACAGAGGAGCAGGGCGGACATCAGTTAGTGTCACCTCCACTGTCCTGTCCCCTTTCTTGCCTGTCCACATCTGCTGTCTTGGCCCCACTTTGGCAAACTGAACTCCCAACTGGTGAGTCAAAGCTGGTCAGTTAACAACATAGACACTCAGCGCTGCATGGCTGTGTATTGGTACAAACAGGCAGCAGCTATTGGAACGAAAGTAGTTGCTGGACATTCAGACCCCAGAGAGGCCAGGACTAACCCTGCAACTCGTCGTGTTGAGTCCAGCTCAACAACGATCGGGTCAGTCTTAGTAAAGGTGCTCAGAGCCATGCTGGCGAGTACAGGACCTCCAGAAACAAGGTCACCGGAGACAAAACTTTGTCTTCCTTTTGGCAACAATGTCTTTTTGT